CTTGACATTCACTGGCCAGTCATGCGTTGAGTCCCACCACGTTTCCTTTAGAGGAAGAGTGTAAGAAACAAGGTAGAGGGACCCATGCCTTGCTGTTCCTTCCTAGTCACCACCAATAGGTCAAAGACAAAAATGTTATGTATAATAGCCCCAGTGGACTTATTCTTCATAAACTTGTCTAATCCTTTTTGAACCCAGTAATAACTCTGAGCCCATCATGCATAATTAGGTCTATCTTCTTGCCACCCATACATTACTTTGTACTTCCCAGTGTTGAAATTCATCTGCCTTTTTGTTGCCCACTCACTCAGTTATGTAGATCTTTCTGTTACCTTTCTATGACACTTCTTTGGATTTGACTATCACAATTAATGTTATTATCTGAAAAAATTGTCATGTCACTATTCACATCCTGTTTCAGATCACTGATGAATGTTGAACAATACAGTTCCCAGCACACATCCTTAGGGAACTTCACTGTTGACCTTCTTGCACTGTGAAAAATGAACATTTAGTTCTACCCTTTGTTTTTATTTTTTTAACCAATTTTCATTCCATGAAATGACTTGTCCTCTGATCCCATGACAGCTTCATTCCTTCAAGAGCCTTTGGTGAAGGACCTTGTCAAAAACATTTTAGAATTAATTAAATAAAAGAGTAAGACTGACAGGAAACCTAGGCTCAAATCCTGACTGACCTCTGGCCATATCTTACATCTCCCGCAGGATCTGACATGTTCACATTCTGCTCAGATGAAGGCAAGAGAACTGCCATTCACACACGGTTTAAACACCTGCTACACAATGCTCAACACAAAGCTTCACGTGGCAACAACAACACAACATTTGTATGTTTAAAGTTAGATACTTTAAGAAGCACAAAATATGTTTCTAGTCTCAAATGGTCTTTTTAAAAACATAGTTCTGGAAAAGAGGTGACCTTTGATTCATACCTTTTGCTTCAATTGTAAAACCGTCTGCTTTATTTGGTGAAACTCTTTGCATGAGGCACAGCAAGCTCCTGGTTTCACCTCATTGTCGGCTTTCTCAGAGAGCCCAGCTAAAGAAAACAATTTCCAGGACAAACATAAGAAAGGCAGAAAATCCAAAAGGAAAGAATCCCACAAAGTAATTGAATAAGCAACTGCAAAAGCAAAACGCCACAGAACAGCCTTTGAGGTTTTTATGTTTTCCCATAATGTGAAAGGCAGAGGAGATCATGCCATTACCAGCTTTTCAATTGTGAATCACCAGAGCTGAGCAATTTTACTGAGACAATCCTACACACATTTTCAAACCAGCTGTTTCCAGTTAGCAGTCCCTAATGAGACCCTACTTTCTTATACCTGAAAATGTTCATGCCCATGCTTTTATCTGTCCATTTACAGTAGAGCAGCTTTATAGATCCCAACTGATTTATAATCTACTCAATGGCCAATTTTCATATGCTGTAAATTACAAGAAAATCCCAGGCAAAGCGACTCTCTCTTTCAGTTTGCACAACATTGGCCTTTATCATCACTGATTATTTTACCATGCTAGGAGACTGCAAGAGCAAAAAGGGTTGAAAAATGAGATTCATGGTAAGGTATCATATCGAAGGTAGAAGAAGGGCCACTGCAACTGGTAGGGATACGGAAATGACATTGCTGAGGAATCAGTGCCATAATGCTGGAACTAACAAGCATCAGAACCTCATTTTCTTTACAGTCTCAAATGGAGCTAGTCACTTTTGTTCCACAAACAAACATTGTTTTAACAGATGTCCTAGTAAAAGGAAATGAAGTTTCCCAAACACAAGGAGAAACGTATTGGCAAACTGTAGGAAACAACCTTTCTTCTTTTTGCTGTTGAAAAACATACAGTTCATGAAGAACTTGGATAGCTTAAACAAGTCAAGCCAACATTTAGGTTTGAAGAATGATCGACCATAAGGCTCATTAAAAAGGTTTACACACCAGCTCTTCAGCACCATGGCACAGATTACTGCTACTTGACTTAAAGGAGGAGCTCCAATCCTTGGCATAACTGCAGGCTGTTATCCTCTACATGGACCACCCACCATGCACTTAGCTATGGTGGTATATTTGTCCATTTGGATATACACTTTAGTATCTTTATTTGGGTCATTTTCATTAATTAATATGGCTTTTGAAAAATATATAGCATTATGTAAAACAGTCTGTGTGTTAATATTACAGACATTTCTCGGTGCTTGACATTTATATATTTACCGGATTTAGTGTAGTGAATTTCATACAGTTTCCTTATGTATCCATTCTTATATAACTTTCTGTAATATGCCAGGATGCTCAAACAGATTCACAGCTAATCAGTGTCTATGTACTACTTTCATCCATATCCAGAAAGCTATTTCAGATGTCCTGGAATAGTAATTCTGCCTCTTAGAGTAGGGGCTTAGTTCTCTTATCCTAGTATGTAGATCATACATATATCCTTTACTTCATGGCCTCCTTTATACCAAAAAAGATAGTATAAAGGAGGGCAAAGTTAACTCATCAGCAGCATTAAGAACATCTGAATTAGTGATGAATTAAGAAAAGAGACGAGCATTCAGCTGCTTACTAAGAGCCTGATACAGCAAGTGTTGTCAAGAGGCATCTTTTAGCTGATTACGCTGAACACTGGAACAACTCACCTATACTACCTTTAAACTCAGTCAGTCCTTTTCAGTTTAAAAATCAGGCTTGAAATACTAGACTTCTTTGTGAGGTTTCCAGTGCTATTTAAATGTTGTCCAAAAAGTAGTGCCAGAAGAATGGCATCCAACATGGTGCTTTCATGGATTCAGAGAGTTAAGGCCAGAAAGGACCACCAGATCTTCTTCTACTACAAGTCCTTGGATAACAATGGCCATAGCATTTAACCCAGCTGACGTTGCACTGATCTCAATAACTTGTGTTTGGCTACAGTGCATCTTCTAGAAAGAAAGGCATCCTGTCTTAACTTGAAAACACTGAGAGAGGAAGGGTTCTCTCCTTCCTTTAGCAGTCTGTTCTCATGGTTCATCACCCTCATTGTTCAAAGTCACAGAACCATAGAGAAGTAGGGCTGGAAGGGACCTGCAGAGGTCATCTAGTCCAACCCCCTGCCTGGTGTAGGATCACTCCTATCCAACCCATCCTAAACAATAGTCTAAACTCTTTGTAAAACTACTGTCAATCCTGACACACCACAAGACAACACCCTAATCTGCCACAGGTTAAGCAGGAGAACCACAGCAGCCAATGCTCTGTTTCTATACATTTTATTAATATACAGTTTTCCCTCACTTTATGCGGGTTTTGTATGTGTGAATTCGCTCTTATGTGATGACCCTTTTTACACCAAAAAATCATTATATGCGAGGTAAATTCACTCTTATGCAATCGGTGCGGTGGAAGCCCGCAGTCAGCTGCTTTGTGCGGCGCACTGTGGGAGTGATGTGCACCAAAATATAGTCTCCTGTGTGGATCTGTGCTCCTCGCTCGTTGTCTGTGACACGTGTTTCTGTAGTTGACGTCCCCATTATGATAGTGTCCTGGGTGCTTGTGTGTACTGTCTGCTGTTAGTGAGTACCAAAACTGTCTTGTAAAAGTGGTAGAAATGGGTCTAGGGGTCAGTACAGTCAAGGTCTTGGAACATATCCCTATTTGTTACATTGTAAAGTGGGTTCCCTTTATGCAAATTAGAGTTATGTGCCATTTTCCAGGAACACATGTACAGCATAAAGTGAGGGAAACCTGTATACTCAAAAGATGCCAGGTAGAGGGCCATGTCTCTCACTATAGGTTGAAACAAAACCCTGCACAGTCCGTATCAATTTGACCATGGGGTAACATTCCTTCCTGACCCTAAATATGGCAATCAGTCTGGCCCCGCGCAGAGTGGCAAGACCCCCTAGCCAGAACCTCTGGCTTTATGTCCCAGCAGAAGCATTGGCACATTCCAGTCAAAATCCCCAGCTCTGGCTGCAGCTAACACCCAATGCCTCTGAGAAAGACTTAAAAACACCCTGACACATAACAGAAAGCAGGGGGACAGGCATCACCAGCAAAGCCCAGAAGCATGGGAAATACCAATAGTAGAACAATGTGCAACTTATTTCTAGTTATAGTTTATCTGGCATTAAATTCTATTCAGGGTTCTTGTTATGGCTTTGTTAGTACCTGGCATTTTTCTTCCCGGGAAGGAATTCGTGAACCACAATCAATCATCCTTTGGTCTTCTTTTAGAAACATTAACAGATTGAACATCTTACATCTCTCACTGTGAGGCATCTTCTCCAACCCTTAAACTGTTTCAGGGATTCATTTCTCAACCTGCTCCAATTCCTCTAAATTCTTTTAAAAACTTGAGTATTTTGGTGCATCTAACTCTAGGTGAAAGCCAGAATTACAGAGGCACATACAATTGCTTAAATAAAAAGCAAGCTAAAATGTGGGTTTGATATAAGTATTAGACTGATGTTCCTTTCAGTTTATATTTTATCCAAATGAGTTCACTCAAGAGAGGAACAGATTGTTGAGAAATGTCGCTGAAAGCAATGTACAAACTACCAGATTTCGTGATGTCTTTAAGCTTTGTGTGATCTCCTGGGAATAAGTGCAATTATATGGAGTGTAAGAAACAACTGAATTTGGCCCCTTGTTCTGGTATCTAATCCAATCTATCCCCAAAAATGATGTGGAAAACAGGCTAGTATAATGATATCCATAGACAAAAGTTGGTTATAATAGTGCAATGGGGTCAACACTGTAGTCATCTACTAGATAAGCCAGTAGTTCTCAATTCAAGGTGCCCCCATTAGATTTTAGGCGTGCTTCAGAAAATGCCAGCTCTTAGTTTTCACTTGTTCTTTTGACTACAGAAAAATAACACAGGAATTCTTCTGTCGCAAAGAATTCAGAAAGTCCCAAACACGTCAGAATGTTTTTTAACACTATGAATTCCTATTTGAAATCTCAGGGTTTATCCTGTGAATCATATTTGCACACCTAACCATACGAACATTCTGTGGCACCCTGCAGCACCCTTGAAAAGATCTCAGGGCACCCTAAGGTACTATGGTGCCCTGGTTGAGCATCATGGGTTTGGCTGTATTATACTGCAGGCAGTTCTGTAAATCCAGCTGAACTGATTAGTCTCTGGACCAATAAAAACACTGGTGGGGATCTGATATTTCTTAAGAGCAAGGCAAGATTCTCCTGATTCATGCCAGAAGGAGGTAATGATCTGACCAGGAAAAGAGTTATTCATTACCACATTCCTTATACACAGCCTGGTCACATATCAAACCCAAAACACAGCTACTTATGAATAAAGCTGGAATTGTCTTAGCATGAGCTGATGATGGTCGTTGGGGAAACAAGATTCTAGTCATCATTCGTACAGATATCAAATAAATCCTGGCAACTCTATAATAAGCAAACACTTGAGCAAGATGCTTAAAAAGCTTGTTTTTTATTTTACAAGGCCTGAATTTTAGGTCTAAAACTACTTGTCCCTTTAAATACTCTGTACAGAGAGGGCAATCCTGAATGCCATGGCTTAAATGCATTTTATGTGGCCCTCTGGTACATAGACAGCTAACTCTAGTTTGCATAATGTTCTGTTGTCCTTCTTCAGGCCCTTTTACCTACTCACTGGTGAATGTCGCAGCTGCTATTGATAAGAAAACCGCTTGGAGAGGCAGTTTGTTTGCTTAGCATATGGTTGAAGACACTATCCTGCTTATGCTGGAAGACAGTGAGGTACTGCCAGGAGGAGATCTCCACAGGGAGCTGTTCAGCATGCATTCTTTTCACTGAGATTGTTTAGCTTATCATCTGTGTTGTATTATCTGGGCTCGAAGTGCAGAGGTTTAGTTTGTCTTCTTGGAATATGTAAGTGTCCTGTCTCTGTAACATGCAAAACGATTGCTGAAGCAACAAGGATGGGTCAGTTCTGTTGCCTGGCGTTCAAACCCACTGCATGTTCAGCCCAACCTCCTTGCAGCAGTTGACAATGTGACAGCTGAAAATTACATCTGTGTGATAAAGGTACTTGCTGAAGGCTCCA